CTCGGACCCACATGCAGATAAACCAGTCCAGAGAGACAAGGGAAAAAAGTTTAACAGGTTTATTGAGAAGTTTTGTGGCGATTCCAGTGTTGCTCTGAACACTGCTCAACCGGAACTGAAAGGTGACGGGAAGACACTGCGGTTAGTTCAGGTTCAGTGGGAGAATTGGTTCTCGAACTTGAAGAGGAGAAAAGGTTGGCAGACTCACGTTTCCAGAGACTAGGTTGACTCTTAGACTCCTGTAGGTGAGGAATGTGTTCCGGTGTTTGTCTCATATGGAGGAGGGCAGACAGGGTTACCCAGAATGTGGTTGCTTGTAGATGAATGGAAAAAGACTGACTGCCACTCAGATTTCCTGTGGTACTTGAACGGATTGTTGTGCAGATTAATTCCTTGCTCAGTGTGAAGCTCAAACGTTTCCTCCGGGAAAAGTGGATCCAAACCTCCAGTTAGTTTCCACAGATCAGTTTGAAGCTCAGTTGATCCTTCCAGGGAGAGAAGGTCCGAAAAAATCCAGTTTGCAGGATGACTTCCTGCCGAGAGGCAAGGACAAAAAAACAATGTTAAGACTCAGGTTGACAAAAACTCAGTTTGACTCAGCAAAACTCAGCTTGGCTAGAGTACCCAAAACTGGCAAATGCTCTGGCGTCGAGGTAGTGGCAGTCAGCAGCTTAAGGACACTCCGTTAACGAGCAAACCCCTTGCAGGTGTGTGAGGAGGAGAATCAGAACCAGGCGCCCCCTGGTGGAGGAAGGAAGACAAACACACAAAAACACAGACCACACAGACTGGAGTCCTAAAAGGCGGTCCATTTAGATTTTTTTTTTAACTCATAATTAAGAGTTTCTAGTACTGCACTGCTCAAGGTAGCTGCAAATTAACTTTACTACTTGATTTTGAATATTCTTTTTAAAAGACGTTCAGTTCTTCCGATTGTGGATCATATTTATTCTGGTGTTGGATACTGTGCTGCTGAAAGAATTTTGCCAGTATCTTTTCATTGGTTGGCATTAGTTATAACATCAATTGCTGAAATTAAAGTTCAATTACTTCCACAAGTCCCAAGAACTCCAAGCCTGTGAAAGGACCAAGCCATAGAGCTTGGTTACACTGCCAGTATCCCCACTGTTTTCTGATGCTGTTTCAAAGAAAACAAAACTTTTGAGTCATTTTATTCAAATCTCAAGGACACGAACATCTCTAAAGAAAGACCTTCTCTTGGGAAACTGGGTCGCACTCTTGTTTTTTTTCTGCTCATTGTATGAGCCCCAGGAGATACTTCCAGTGATGAGGAAGAGTTCCTGCCTCGTTCCAATACCAAATAAACTAACTCCGTAGTGACAATAGACCCGTTTCCCTGCCATCCCACATCATGAAGGTCCTAGAGAGACTTATGCTGGTTTACCTCAGCATGCAAGCTAGCAGCTATCAGGAGCCCCTGCAGTTTGCCTATTGCCGTGGAGATGAAGTTGAAGATGCCATTATACACTTACTTCAACAAACTCACTGTCATTTAAACAAGACAGACAGCAGTGTGAAGATCGTGTTCTCTGATTTCTCCAGTGCATCTAACACAATTCAGGGTTACTGACTCTGTACACCTCTGACTGCTTTACTGGTCATGACTTCCAGTACAAAATAGATTCCTGACATCTGCATAAATACTCTGAAGACTCTGCATTGTGTGCATCAAAGATGGAAAAGAAGCTGAGTACACGAAGCTGGTTAAACACTTTGTGGCATGGTGTGGAAATAATAGAAACAAGGGAGATGATTACTGATTTCAAAAGAAACAACAAGTAGAATCCCATTACCTTATTGTCATGATTTTATCTAAAGCTCTGATCCATATGCAGAAGACCAAACAGAGAGACCAGGGAAAAGTTTAACAGGTTTTATTGAGAGTTGTTTGAGAGGAGTCCAGTGCTGCTCTGAACACCGTCGAACCGGGACTGAAAAGTGAAGGGGAAGATTCTGTGGTTAGTTCAGGCTCAGTGGGAAATTTATGTCTTCGATTTGAAGAAGGGAATTAAGGCAACAGACTCACGTTTCCAGAAAAAGGTGTCTCTTGTTGAATCCAGTCGGTGTGGGTTGTTCCAGTGAATGATTTGTTCGTTGGAGGGCGGACAGGGTTTACCCAGATTGCGGTTTTTCCTTGAGGAGCGGAGCAGCTGACTGCCACTTAGTTTTCCTGCGGTACTTGAACGGGTAATAGTGGAGATGAATCCCCTGCTCAGTGAGAAGCCCCAAACAATCTTTGGGGGAAAAGTTAATCCAAACCACAAACTTGAATCCTCAATTCAGTTTGGTGCTCAGAGAATCCTTCCAGGGGGGAGAAGGTCCAAAACATCAAGTTTGCAGGATGACTTCCTGCCGAGAGGCAAAGACAAAAACAGCATGGTTAAAACTCAGATAGACAAAAACTCAGTTTGACTCAGCAATACTCAGCTTGGCTAGAGTACCCAAAACTGGCAAACACTCTGGCGTCGAGGTAGTGGCAGTCACCAGCTTAAGAGTCCTCCGGTAATGAGGTAACCATCCACAGGTGTGTGAGGAGGCCAACGAGAACCAGGCGCTGCCTGGTGGTGGAGGGGCACAACCACACAAACTGGATTCCTAACACTTATTGGAGAAGGAGTGGAGGTAATGGAGAAGTATGAATATCTTGGCGGTCACCTAGACAACAAAAATGACTGGAGACGCAGCTGTTTAGATGTCCACAAAAAGGAACAGAGCGGACTTTACTTTACCTTCAATCTTCCCTCTTTAGTGGTAAACGTGGAGAAACTCTTCCATTCTGTTTTCAGCAGTGCATGGGACAAAACATATTTGTTTCTTTTAATGAGTGCATTTGAAATTTGTTCTATTATTTTTATGATGCGTGAGGAGTAACGGCTTCTTCCTTGCTGTGTGGCCTTTCAGCTCATTTTAAAATTATATGATTTTATGACAGTTCCACAAAAAAGTATTGCATAACCGTGTAAAGAAAATGGAGGAAGCATCATGAATAGAAAGGAGCACAACAGACAGGCCAAAAATACAGTTAAAGAGAAGATTTAAATATCCCAAGATTTTAAGATCTCAAGAAGAACTACAATCCCAGCGAAAACACAGTAATCTGCCTAAACTGAGAGGCTAAACAAAAGAAGTATGAACCTGTGAAGCAGAAAAAAGCTATGATGACACATTAGAAGCTACAGAGGTTCAGAACTTAACTGGAAAATTAAGAAGTCAGAGCATTTGTTTCACATGCACTCCACAAATCTGACTTATAATCAGTCTTAAAAGCCACAGTCTGTAATAAGCCATAAATACGATCAGTACAAGTACTTTTAGAGCTGTTATACCAAAGGGATTATTTTCTTCAGCAGGTGAAGTTATCAGGGAGGCTGGCCAGAATATAAAATAATAAATACTGAACATTCCAACAAGAAAACCTGCAAATGGCTATGAAAGACTTGAGACTGTGGTAGATATTCCCCATCTCTTCTAAACATACAGGTAGAGCTACATGACTTTAATGGCAGCATTCATCTATAAGGATGGGCTAAAGCCGTAACCCTGATCTAATTAAGAATAATTTTCATGATATGAATAATTATATTTACAGACAACCAATGAGAATCAAGCCATCCAATCTGCTTGAGCCAAACTGCAAGAAAGAATGGACAAAAATCCTACTTTTTAAATGTTGAAGTTTGTAGAGTTGCACATGTAGTTTTCAGCAAAACTTGGTTTTAATGTGTGAGAAAGGTCAGTAAAATTAATTGCTTCTTATGTCACCTTACATGACTGCTGAAAAACCAAGTAAAACTATCTTAAATTCAGGAAAATGTTTGTTAAATCATGAACAGAAAATGAGAACAGAGAATTCAATATACACAATTTTATTTACATTGACACTTGTAATAGCAACATATCAGATTTACACAATAACTTTAAAGCTTTTAAATAAATACACAGGGATATGCAGCAAGCCATTAAATGAAAAAAATAATCTCTAGTAATGAGGAGTTCTCATTACTAATTGTAAAATCTTATCCTTAATCACTTTTTGATGCCTGGAATGATCAGATCTCACCATTTGGAGCCTTGTTGCCGGGGAAATGAACTAACTTGCAAAAAGCATAAAAAGTAGCAATTGGCCAAATTAAAGGAATAGTACACCCAAAACATGATTAGCCTTCATTTTCTACTCACCCCCATGCTGAACAACACTCTGGAGTACTTTTTTGATATCTCAAATGCATCTGGAGATCTGGGAGGCTTCTTGCTGTCTGCTGACATTCAAATAATGGAGGTCTACGGTGCCCGAGACAGAAAGGTCCATAAAAGTCCACAAAAACGTGTCAATATTCCTCCATACTGCTCGTCCAATGTATTCCAAGTGTCCTGAGTGGGTAGCATCCAGAATTTACTCGAAACGAAGTCATTTAGAATGTTTTTAGAGCATAAACAGTAGTGTATAGTATTTCCTAAAAGCGCGTTCACGGCGCTACGGAAACCGCGGCAGACCAACCCAGACGAAAGTGCGCATTCAGCTCGGCAAAGAACTTCTGCTCTTCCTCAACACTGAAGTCCTCAGACATTTTTCTTTCGTTGTTTCTTTCTTTGCACAGGTAAACGGCACATTTCTTCTTCTACGCTTGCATTATCGGCAGAGCAGACGCTGAATGCGCACTTTCATCTGGTATGGTCTGCCGGCTTCCGTAGCGTCCTGAACGCGCATGTGCGCGCTTTCAGGAAATACTATACACTACTGTTTATGCTCTAAAAACATTCTAAATGACTTCGTTTCGAGTAAATTCTGGATGCTACCCACTCAGGACACTTGGAATACATTGGACGAGCAGTATGGAGGAATATTGACACGTTTTTTGTGGACTTTTATGGACCTTTCTGTCTCGGGCACCGTAGACCTCCATTATTTGAATGTCAGCAGACAGCAAGAAGCCTCCCAGATCTCCAGATGCATTTGAGATATCAAAAAAGTACTCCAGAGTGTTGTTCAGCATGGGGGTGAGTAGAAAATGAAGGCTAATCATGTTTTGGGTGTACTATTCCTTTAAGAGAAAACATCAAATACAAATATTTTATGATAAAGATGTCACAGTGAGAAGAGCCACAGGCAGATTCCCTTGTTTAATCAACAGAGGGAAATCTGTGCACCTACAGTATAAGAAAATAAAGCATATCAATTTCTGTATCACGGTACCGTTTCTTCATTAAGATAGACATCTTCAAAAGTACTGAAGTTACTTTATAATGAACGAACATCTATATTTACAAAAAAACAAGAAGAGTAAGACTGTGGAGTTTTTAGTAAGCTAAGTGACTTGATGAATCTGTTGTAGTGGCACCTCATGACAGTAAGTCAACTAATCTATGCACGCATACAGACATTCACACAAAGGAGGACGTGCATTCTCTCTCATACGCACAAACACACTCGCACACGTGTTTGTCAAAGCAAACAGGACACTTTCCTTGCACTCCTTGGAATAACATCCACAGCTGGGAGAGATGCCGGTACCACTCCAGACAACTGGCTAAGAAGTGCTGAAAACCCCACTTCCGATAGAGGAAACAACTGGACGACAAAAGAAGAGAGGGAAGGCAAGGAAACCAGCTACTAAGCTGAGAACAATGAGACAGCGGACACAATAAGTTCCACACCGAGTGTCACCGTCTCAACAAAAAGCTATGACAAGCCTCTGTTTTTCTCTTGCTCCTCTCACCTTGGGGAATACTGCAATCCACTTAATGGCGTATCACATCAGGTTCACCTTTGCTTAAAGTATGATATACACTTGAGGAACTGCACGGCTAGCGTGGAAAGACAGCACACCAGTCTGGGTTGGTGAAAACAGTCTCCAAACCATTCATGAATAAACGGAGGGGAAAAAGCAGAGACACTAATCTGAAAACTGGCAGTACCTACCTCATGTTTGTGAACAAATATACAGCGAGAGATGAAGGAGGGAACAGTTACATACATCTTTACAAGAGATCTCTACCTCTCGCAGCCCAGCTGTCAGTGAGTAACAAAGCATAAAGAGTTGCATACCATATCTACATCTACGTATGTTGTTTCTGCAGTCATGCACTAGTCATGTTATTTGCAAACAAATTCCAAAAATGTATTTGCCCTTTAAGTAGCTACCATCCCAGATCTACATCCTAATATACTTGAAGCACTTATGGACATGTCTTCGACAATGTTTCCTAGTAGCTTATACATGTAACCATGTCATCATATGTAAATTAGAATTGGCCCCTGAAAGAATATTTTTCATACAGCATATATCTGAACAGTTGGAAAATAATACTGACAGTTAAAGTGATAAAAAAAACAAACGACAAAAGTTATATTATCTGCATCATGTTGTGTATAGAATAAAGTTTAAGTGCCTCAAGTGCTTTGTTTTCCACCCAACAACTGCAACAGCCAAAGAAACTGCAAAAGGTGAACCATGATAGAAAAAAAAAAACATTAGAGAATAACCAAAGACACCATAATTAAAAAGTAAAAGAACTCTAAATTATATAAGATAGCTGCTGGATGTGGATCCCCCCCCAAAGAAAAAGGTTAATGATACAACTTCAATGTAAAGGAAATGTGGAAACATGTAACAGTATAATAAGTTGTGAAACAGTTAGAATAATGGTTGATGATCATCTACCCTCCGTGGTGTCTTCAAAGTTCTTCAGATTGTGAGCAATAGCCCAAGTGTCCACCCACCACTCAGTAGGCAAGGATAGTGATTGCAAAGTTTAAAACCATTTATCCACAGAGGTTCTCTCTTGTCATCTTGTCAGAGGTGCATTTACTCTTCTGAGAACCATTTTTGCTGGTAACGGGGAGGCAGACAGATGTTGTAGTTGGATGATTTGTGGCGTAACATGACAGGCACTTTGAGGCAGCCAAACAAGTCCGATGAGTCCTTACACCCAATGGGCATGAAGGATTGTCCCCTCTATGAGGACTTCATGCTGAACCAGTAAGGGCTGTGTTGGAGTGCTCTTACTGCTGGCTGGGTGAGAGCTGTGAGCTGCTGTGTTCTGAGAACTGGGCTCCTCCCTCACTCTAGGCAACAAAGGGAGTCTGGAACTGAAGTTCAAATAAATCTGACAGGAAGGAGAGAAAAAAAAATGTTGGAATGGGTTTTCAAGAGAACACAGTTTTCTTATAACCTGACTGCTAAGATAGCTTCAGAGATCAATTGCTCTTGAATTATCACACAGTTTGTTATATTGACACTGAAAACCTCAGGTCATTTTAAAGGCATTTTTATGTACTAGACAAACATAAAATAGTAAATGATTATGCAGTGAGAGGAAAAGAATACATGGTTTGCAGAAGTTTCTACAATAAAACTTCTTTAATCTGTTACACCTTATTTAATCAGAGTTCTAAGAACTGACTTTGGATGTAATCTATTTGGTTACACCTGTTTGTGAATTGATCTCACGATAAATATAGTTGTAGGTTATGGCATCAGAGGCTTATGAGAAAGTAGAATTAGACAAACAGCTCCAGCTTAAGGGGTATTAAAAAGAAAACATCATTTTGTAAGTTTGTATAGTGAAAGTACTTTGAATGTATGAACAGGCAAGCATGTGATGTTATTTGTAAATGAGAGGAAATACATTTTCAAAAGACCATCCGGTCTCTGAAAAAGCAGAGCAAGAGTTTTGTCCGCATTGCTGAACATTAAGTCGGCCCTGTTCCTGGTGCATGTCTCCTCCACATCGAGAGAAGTCAGCTGAGGTGGCTCAGACAGCTTTTTCTGTTGTCACCTAGGAGGGGGCCTAGGTGACAACACAGGAAACACTAGAATAACTATGTCTCCTTGCTGGTCTCGGAGCAACCAGGCTTACCTCAGTAGAGCTGAAGAAAGTGTTCGGGGAGAGAGAAGTCTTGGGTCAGCTGAGAATGCTTTCCCCCCGCCCTTTCTTATGGTTTAGCCATAAGAAAGAACTTTACACAAGACACGTCTATTTAGCAGTGTCTGTTTATGTGAGGCCGATGCCCCGAGGAAACATCAAGATTTTTGGAATGGAGGAGCACTGTCACAAGAGAGATAAATTGTTGCTGGGATTTTTCTGTCAGGATGATTAATTCACCTTGCATCAGCAGGAGCTGCAACATGTTTTGTGTTAGCCTTTGTCATTTGAATTTTTTTAATACTGTACAAAAAGATGTTAAAATCTTACTGTGAAGTTAAGTTAGCTCAGTCGCTAGAGCCCTTAACCCTCCACACTCCTCCCCTGGTGCTACTCAAGGGGATGGGTTAAATGCAGAGAGTTAATTTCTTTGCTCTGTACTTGTGACAGTTTAATGACAATAAAACACTGGTGTGATAAAAACTCGAACCTAGAACCTTTTTTGGTTATAGAAAACAATATAGCACCAGTAACACCTACATGTTTAGTGGCATCTGACAGCAGTTGCTCAATGCTCTCAACCACCTTCCTGAAGGGAGGTCTCTTGAAGGGGTCAGCATCCCAGCAGGAGCTCATAATCTGATACCTGTAAAGAAACACCAACTAAATTATGTCTCTTCTGCTAATACAGTGTCTTTTTTGTTAGATATTTACCAAGGAATCTTTTATTTATATACTTTTTGTACTTCTTGTGCACAGCTAAACACAAAAGGATGTGAGCAGACTGTGATCTAGCCTTCCCATGTTGTCTCCTGCATAGAATCTCACATAATATCTAACCAAACTATCTCTCCTCGTTTTAGATGAACAAAATCTTACATTTCATTAGGTGCAAACTCAGGAGCATCCATTCTGTATCCTTCTTTTATCTGTTTGTAGAATTTGGCATCTACGGGCATACCAGGATAAGGGCTGTTTCCTATGTTCCAAAGAAATCTTAGATCAGATTATACAATTCAAATAAGAGCGAGATAGCCTGGACTAAGAAGAAAAGGCACCGTAGAGATGGAAACATACCCAAGGAGAAGATTTCCCAAAGCAAGATGCCATAAGACCACACATCACTCTCAAACGTATACACGCATTCGAAGATGCTTTCTGGAGACATCCACTTCACAGGCAGACGAGCCTGAAACAGAGCAGCTCAGTGAACGGGCAGATAGCTGCAATGCACATTTTCATGCTTCATATTCAGATAAAATAGCTGCGGGAAAAAAGTACACAACACAAAAGGGTGCTTAGATATCAGGTGAAAGAAAAATGACATGCCCTTTTTTGTATCACAAGATATATCACAAGAACTTCATACTCTTAACTCATTTACCACTGATAAAAAACCATAACCCCACCCAGCTTGGTAAGTGTCTCACAGGAACTCAAAGCTCCTAATAATTCTGTTTCACTAGTTTTACAAAATGCTAACTGGGGTGCAACATTGTATGTGATATTTTGCTCACCAGATTGTCATTTTATTTTAGATTACATCTATAATTGGTCAATTTTAAACATGATCTGAACAAGTTTATTGCAGCTCTCACTGTCTTGTGGGAAGGTTTACCTCAGCCCCATTCTCAAGTCTTTTGGTGACTCTAACAGTTTTTTTTTCTTACCATTGTCCTACATTCTCATGAACTCTGATCAGCTTCCCTGTCCATGTTGAAGAAAACACATGGCCTCACCTCGATGTTGCATTAACCATTCAATTGAGGGGTAAATTAAATTCAGGATGATGGTCTGTGTTAGTTTTGCTTCATAGGAAGGAACAGAAGCATATATGCAAAAAACCATAAAAAGACAAAGACATCTTCTAACAACAAAATAAAGAAGGTGAGGTTTACACTTTAAATTTTAATAGTTTACTCAACCAACAAAAGCATTGGTGTTTTAAATTCGTCCGTTCTAATTTTTTTCCACAGCGCATCTAGAAAGCCGGTAAAGGAGAGCATACATCTTTTTTTTTCAAATTAATAACCTTAGATCAACAGCCAACATAAATGTCGGCAAACCACAAGTGAATGCGCATAAGGTTAATAAAACAAACCCTGTCTCAACCTGAACTCAACGCATGACTGTGCTGAGTTGGGGCCTGTAAAATTAAAACTGTAAATCAGTAAATCAATAAGCAATATTAAACAAATTGTTGTGTATTTAGATTTTATAAGAGAGGCCCAGATTTTAATGTTAATTTGATAATGAAGAAAAGCACAAGTGACAATGAAAACGCCAATGGTTTTACATGATACCCAGGCCTAGGATTAGCTATTTCCCTATTTTGATGGATCTTTGCCTATTTATTTTCTGTATTTCTATTGTTATTATATCAGTAGGAATTCATAGCTGTGAGCAGACTTACATTACCCTTGACGACATAGTTTGAGTCTGTGGTGATGTCTCTAGCTAGGCCAAAATCACAGATCTTTGCCACTCTTCCTTGGGTCAATAGGATGTTTCGAGCAGCAAGGTCTCTGTGAATGCACTATAACAGGACACATACATAATATGATGACACATAAACAACTGACTTTCATTAGACATGAATGATGTTCTGCTTTTAATGGACATTGCTGTAGAATTTTCTATGCTGAACTTTGTAATGCACAATTACTGAGAGTGACACGCAACATCTCTGGACACAGTATCTGCTGCTCTACAGGGTATACATTTTTCAAAAACATTTGTTTTAGATCTGTTGCATGACCAACATGAACAGCTCTTCTCATGCCAGTACACACGTTTACACACACACAAAGTCTGGTTATCAGGTGTGAGGAGCTTATCCAAATATAAAATTCGACAGCTGTTCACCTTAAGTCTGCAAACTGTGTGGCAGAAACTTACATTTTTGGAAGCTAAGAACTCCATGCCTTTGGCCACTTGGTATGAGAAGCTTAAGAGATCTTCTGTGTCGAGAGACATATCATCCTCATCGAACATATCACCCTCTTTGTCAGCTTCGACGTATTGGCCACCTAAGAGGATTGATAGTTAAAAGAATAATTATTTTTCTGTTGCTTTAGTTAGGTGTTTTAAAGTTTTCTAGGTTAAATGAAATTTGATGAATGGCTGGCTTGCCTTTGCGTAGTGACTGTCTCCGCTCAGAGGACGAGCTCGACAGTCGGTTGCCAGCAACAGAAGGCCTCATGCTCATGTAGCCATTCAAGCTGTCACTGTGAAGAGGAAAGGAGCAGTCTGGTCTGAGCTGAGACCTGCCGTCCAAATACTCTCCCACGCACGTTCTGTATTGAAAATACTAGTACTCTCATTTTTCCCCCCACCACAAATCACTCTTAATGCACACAGAAAAACAAGCCTCACCCTTCTGCAACTCTCTGTTGCATGAGGTTGCGGTAGTAATAGTTTTCCTCCAGCTTATAGGTGATGAAAGACTCTCTCTTTCGCCGGAGAAAATTAAGAAGATCTCCAAAGCAGCAGTATTCAGTAATAACCAGTGTAGGGCCTAAAGATGGAGAAACATGTCTCATCAGAATAAGCTTCCTAAATGAACAACATATAAAAAGCATTACACAGCTATTTTCCATTACAGACACAAGCTTCACTGTATTTTATGTGGCAGCTAAACCAAAAGATTTTGTAATTAGAAAGTGTAAGAAAAAGGATTAATGCTTTTAAAAACTGTTTAAAAATAAAAGTATCAGTTGTGGTATGTGTTTGTATTCAACACTGTCATTATATTTAGAACCATGTTTCACTTGACAGACAGCTGTGCACATCTCAAGCCTGAAATATTTGCTAATTCTTGGCTTCCTCAGTTAATTAAAGGACCTTCGTTAAATTGAATAGAATTGACTCGGAATGGGAATTTCTTTAGCTAATTTTAATGTCCAGATGGACGTTCATCTGATCTAATTTGCTCTGCGACTTTCTGCCTTTATAAACAGGATATCCCTGTATTTAGATCTCTCAATTTTCCCAACAAGTCAGACCAGCAGCTCTTTCTTTGCTGAAGCAAAGCATCCACACAGCATTATGCTGCCTTGACCATGTATTTTGAGTTTCCATTTCTCCATATCTTATATTTACAATTGCAAGAAAAAAAAAAACATTCATCATCCGTCATTTTCTCTCCACTTCCCACTTACGTGTTACCTAAAAAAAATACCTGCATTAATACTTTAGGGTTGTAAATATTTTTACAAGGCCCCATAATTAGTAGTAATTGTATTATTAGTAATTTGTCATATGACACAAAACCATCCACAATCACTACTAGACAAACTCTTCCAGTTTTAATCTAATATTTAAACTCTAGAACAACATTGGTGCCACACCTCCAACAGTGCAGGCTCCGAGCAGGTTGACAATGTTTATGTGGTTTCCCAAGTAACTGAGGACTTTCAGCTCCGACATCAGGGCCTCCTTCTCTGTGGCGTGAGCGCTGGCTGTAAGAAAAGCAGCATGACCCGTATTTTTAAAAGAAGCAAAGTCTGCACATCTTGAAAAATGATTATATATCCTCATTTAATAATTTTGCTGACTAACCAAATAAATTCCACCTGGAGGCTAAATATTGTTATGATAATATTGGCCTGTGCTGAACACCTGCAGGCAATCCTTAGAGCTACTGTGTACATTTCTAAGATTTTTTCTTTGTACATGCAGTGACAGAGCTTACACTTGAGCATTTTCACTGCCACCGTCATGACAGAATCAGCATTGGCAAGTCCATACGCGGTGGCTTCAACCACTTTTCCAAATGCACCAGATCCCAGTGTCTTCCCTGAAAAAAAGAAGGTCAGATACAAAAATGTTATCCCCTTTCTTCTTTTTCCTTCCAAAAACAGACAGTGAACCAGTGCTTTCAGGACTACTACAGTTTTAGCCCTCAGGCTGTGTGTGCAGTCACCAGGACGTGTAGGATCCTGTTTGAAGAGCGCTGTTGAAAACAACACCCAGAATACGTCAACAATATTATGTTTGCATAGGAGGAGTGTGGTTTCTTTCTCATTCAGCTCTGGAACGAGTTGGTCAGTTAACACCGACACAGCTAATACCTTAATGCAGTGTACACATTTGTAAAAAGAAAATGTTAAATCCGCGTGAAGTGGCTGTAGGGTATCATCATTTGAGTTAAGTCATATTGACAGTAAAGTCTGCCTAATGCATCCAACCTCATTTATCTCTCCAAATGTATCTACACTTGGCATATAACAGCCTGACAACACATAAAGGACATAAGCGATGCAATGTGTTTTGTATGATGGATTAATGGTATTAAAGTTGCTATTCAAGAACGCCCACTCTAACGGACTTTGGTAAAGGCGTACTCACCGAAACGCAAGTTGCTCCGTGGGAACTCCCACTGGTGATCGTACGGCAGCTGCGTGGGGTCAATATACACGTAGTTGTTTCCGTGGATTCCTTCAATTACTTTCCATTGAATCTGGTATTTTGGTTTCTAAAAAAAAGAAAAAAGATGCTCAAATGAGTTAATGAGTTTGTGACAGACTTAACCTGTGATTGACTGATGGGTGTGCCTCACGGAGTAAAAGCTCAACCCGGTCTTACCTGCATGTACTTGTAGAATAGCATGATAACAATGAGGCAGAGGATGCCTGCTGCTGATATGAACCCAATCAGCAGAGGACTGAATAGATCGTGCATAACGCTTTTCTCTGCAGGGAGACAGAAATGATAATGTTAGATAATGAAAGACCCAATCAGAGACTCTTTCATTAGTTTGTCATGTGTATACTGTATATGACATTGTAAAGGGGCATTAACGTAAGCCAGAAAAGACTAAGCAACAGTGAAGCACGCATTGATCAAATAGCAGTAAACTAATCCAATTAACCATGTAACATAGATAAATGCACCCCTTTTATTTACTAAATGCAATGTTTGCACCTCATTCTGCTCTAATGTCATGAGACTATGCACAATTCTTGTCAGTACTTCTGCTGCTTTTGCAGCTGTGCTGTTGAGCACTTGTATGTAATCAATGTTCTGTTCCTTTGTGTCTGGCAGGTTGTGATGCCTCATTGTTTTGCTCCTCTGCACACACTGGGTGTAATAAGCTCTTTAGCGATAAGAAGCTTTCTCTCCACTTCAAATCTGAGAATGCAGAGTCTGCAGGAACTAATCCCCTGTAAACCTGTCAGTGGGTTCTAAAGCAATGTTTTCTTTGCTGCAGCTCACTGACACCTATAAGCCTCCCACAGACCACTGAATGCCCACTGCTGAGGATCCTACTGTGCTCCTACATTCTGAAGCGCCTCCGCCTGGTCTGCTGTTACTCTGTGTTCAACAAATCTTGGGACTGGCTTCCAAAGACATGTCCTGCCTGGCCACACACACTGACTCTACATACTGCACACCCACATGGCAACAGTTAGCCTCCCCCCCCCCCACCATACACAAAGATAACGCTGCACGCTCAGATAGAAACAATTTTGGTGTACTTTCAGCTGCAGTGCCAATGCTTTTAGGACACCATGTAGCAGATGGTAAGGCAGTTGCAGGAGAAGGGATTTAGAGTCATAACGTACACAAAGGACTAAAGCTAATTCCTATTTGCAGCAAAATATAACTGAGGTAGTACATATTTGCTTATGTTTACCAAATCGATGAGAATCTGCCAAGTAGCAGTAAGTTCAGGGTTAATCTTTGCCAAAAGCCATGTTTTTAGAAAACATTTTGAGCCGAGGAATTATCCCTTGTTGGATTTACTGAGGGTGCAACCCTGCTGAGATAATCAAGATGACAGAACTGAGATTGACAGGCAGTTTGCTGTTTCAACAAAACCTGTAGTTTTTATTTGATGTGGGGCTAATAAACCACAAAAGTAAAAAGATGAATTCTTGTAGCTCAAGAGAGAAAATACTTAGAAGATAACAACAGTACAGAAAACATTTTAAACATGTCCAGTAAGAATCGACGTAGAAATAAGCAAAATTGAGACAACTGCTGAGGAAGTCTTTATTTGATTTATTTATCCTTGTCAAAGAGGAACAAATCTAGAAATAAAAAAAAACTAAATAAACCTATTCATGCTTTAATAACAATTAGGAAAGCAGTGGGATGGGATTGTCTTGTTACCAGATTAATTAGTAAAGCAATAAAACACCACCTGCAGTAATATTTTTTTCCTGAAGGGTACTTTAACATGATAATTGTAAGACTCCTAATGAAACTCACATTTTCTGAAGTACTTATTGAATATATCTTTACATGCAAGGTAAGCTGTTTAAGTCAGGGTTAATAAGAAATTTCTCGCTCTGACTTCCAACTTCTATGGACCTTTTTGTAAACATTTTCAAATTCAAATTAAGCAGTAATAACTAAATTGCATAATCCATTTGTTTCCTCACAATCAAACAGAGTCTATAGTGGTTAAAGAAACATAGTATATCTAGACCACAATTATCAAGTTTAAAAACATATTAATTTTTTTTTTGTGTACGCTTTAACAGTTCACCAAATCTAAAAATTATGACTTTCAGAAGATTTCATGAACTTTTGAGTAAAAACTGTTTTTGTAGGGAAAAGTAAAAATTTGGTGCAACTTTACCACTTATAGAAAACAGTATAAAGGCTTGCTCTCCCTCAGCTGTGGCGACACACTCCAGAGTATTAAATCTTCCTCCGTTGATGTTGACTCGACTCTCCACCCCCGTCTTCCCAAACGCAGGGCTGACCAATGTGACTGTATTGACATTTTGTTCCTCCTGGGTGCCATTCTTCTGTTGGGAGCACCTAAAGGTAGAAATGTTTATTATTGCTCTATTACATTATGAAATTCTTTTGGCAAGCCTTGGCCTCCCTTTTACTAAACCCAGGTAAGAGATGCACTAAACAGCTGGCCTTTATTCAGAATTAACCACCTTGACCAGTTTTGCATAGAGATAAAAAAACTTCATTTTAGATATATATTTTTTTATAATTGATATTGGAATGAAAACAAATAGCTACCATAATTTTAGTTTGTAACGTTGATCTGTTACCAAATTATATTCACGCATATTTTTGAGAAGAACAAAAACAGATAAGGGGCAGGGGAACATGTTTTAAATTGGCATATTCCTACAATATCTACACATTTCTGGTGCCTTCAAAATAACTTATTTAATAAAATGCCTTGCACCTGAATTATTTATCTTAATGCAATATCGTACTTGGAAAAAGTAAAAATTCAAATGAGAAAACCATATAATGAAACAGCTGATTGTATATTAATACTAACCACAATCTGTTTAATTCAAAACAGCAAAAAGAATGAAACTTTTTGCCCATAAAACAAAACTTAAATGTTTAAAGTTTGCCCTGATTCTCCAGTGCCAACAGTTCTCTTTTACAGACAGTGGCCTATTGTTAACAATGTTTAGATTCACTTGACTTCCTCTTCCTGTCTAAAAATCAACACGCTTGTCGTTTGATGAGTATCAAGTAGATTTCATTTAATACTTCAATAAAACGATTGGGAAGGATTATCAAGAGTGACTCATCGCATGCGCTGCTTGGGACTACCGTTGCTCTGACAACCAGATGCTCCTCCCTCAACACTCCATATGTGGGGCAAGTTGCATTCAAGCTGATGGGTCTGATCACCTCCAATCACAAGTCGATTCTTAACAATCCCCTGTCACATTGCAGGGGGTGCAGGGAATCATCTCATCAGTGTTAACCAATCACAAGTCAGACCTGTCAAATCCTGCAATCCTTCATTCCATTGTTATCATCATTCCCTGACTCCATCCAGTGGGTCTTTGTATGACCTTTAAGACCCTTTGGTTATATTGTCCAGGCTTAATAATAGAAATAATAAAAAAAAAAGCCCACGTCTGATAAGCTATCTTCGCTTGTACTGTGAGAACTCATGGCATCACTGTTTTTGTTTTAGTATTACAGGCTGACAGATGATAATCCTGATTGATATTTAAAATACTACAGAAAACCAAGCAATTTAATTTTTCATTCTAATATCTGATCATAAAATAGTTGACATGTCATGTTTTAAGTTTAGCCATAGTCATCATTTCAATTCAGTTTATTTATATAGCGCCAAATTCACAACACATGTCATGTCAAGGCACTTTACAGTTCAACCAGATCATACAGTCAAATTGATACAAAGTTTTCTATCTAAGGAAAACCAGTTGATTGCATCGACTCATTGACTCAAATACAATCCCTCACACTAAGCATGACAACAGAAATAAAAGGACTAAAAAAAGAAAAGTTTTACAGACTTCTTGATTTTATGTATTTGTCCAGTTTCTGAAAGCCTCACCTGACGTAATGCTCACAGTAGTACCATTTGATCTGGGGGGCAGGGTATCCTTCAGCCACACAGCGCACCTGTCCATCCACTGGGCCCTCATAAGATATAATCTCAGGCTTACCTGGTAAACAAAAGTTAACGTCAGACTGTTGACCGTTAAGCAATAAAATGCAGATTGAAGATAAGGCTTTTGCACCATTTATATCTGTAAGAGCAGAGAGTTAAACTTCATTTTATTACATTCCTAGAAGTCCAATCAGCAGTGTCAGCTGCTAAAGATTCTAGCACTCTGGAGAAATACATTTAATGATATGGCCTAAGGGTAAATGAAACCTTTAACAAAAAGCATTACATTACTTACTGATTACAAAGATGGTGAAGGTCTGATTTACCACCATGGCGCCGTTGGAGGCTTCAAAGGTATAAATGCCACCTTCTGCTACCTTGAGCCGAACCAGCCTCAGCTCGCTGCTGTAACTGAACAGGAGATGAAGACATTTTTAGCATGAATGCTTTTTTTACTGCTTTAGGTGATGAGGGAATAGAAAATAACTGATAATCATTGGCATCTAGCCCTGACTATTTCACAAGTGCTAATCTATCTATATGGACTCTGGATAATGAGGGTTTTATTATTATTAAGTATTGTGTTCTTTTTTATACATCTGAGTAACATTTATTGACTTGTGTCCAGCTAATGAAAGGCTATATCTTAATCATTTCCATATAACAGTGGTGTTTGGTCAAATATGGGAGACATGTGTGCCTGCATAACACCTAATAATTTTTTTTCTCCTACACATTTCATTAACTTGAGGCAAATAGCAGCTGACGTTTGTAATCTGGCCTTGATTGCTTAAAAAGAAACCCTTGAACGAGATTTTTTTGTCTCCAGCTGTTTTTCTCAAAAAGCAGTGACCTAAAGCTGCTAAATTCCATTAGATGCAACTCTCATGTTCTGGTACATGTAGTTCAAATGGTTTGCGTGTGCTGACACCTGTAGTCTTTGCTGTCCATGCTGATCACGTGGTCACTGGCGTTTTTCAGTTTGCGGCCCATGAAGCTCCAGGAGATGCTATGTGGTTTTGGGTATGCCTCCATTTTAACTTTCAATGACAAACTCTCACCTGATCGAACATGGAAGGTTCTGTTGTAGATTTCTGATAGGCTGATAAATCCCCTTTCTGAAACATGAAAAAATGGGGCATTTATGTAAGACATCCTGTGGAAATTTAAAATAGCTGGTATGGGGATTTTCTGGTACATAAAATTAATTCAGTTTTCATGAAAATACTTTACAATTGTGTGTCAAATGTATCAATTTAATAGATTAATTATTTCTCAAAATATGGACATTTTAGGAGAGATGTTTGGTTTCTTTCTAGCAGAAAATTAGCCAATATCTAAAAGTTCATTTCAGGCATTAATGGGCTGCATAATAGCTTTGTTTAGCCTGTGGCCTGATTAAACGCTGTGCTAAACTGCGGTCTTGTCAGGAGTTAGATGAGAAGAGTCCCAACGATTAAACAGAATGTCTTAAAGCAAAAAAGTCAGCATAATAATGTTAATTTATCTTATATGTTATTTCAGTAAACTTGATCTAGATAAAACATTTCCTGTTTTAATCATGAAAAAAACTTCTTTACCATTTAATTCAGAATACAATTTGAAAGCAGGGTAGTTTTGCTCTTTGAGTGTAGTCCATGCAGATTAAAACTGAAAACAGTAAAATTCCCAACTTTCAGCAGTTAAATCAATTTAAAGTCACTCCCTTTAGCATCTGCAACAGTCTGACTTTTTCAAAACTCACCAACAAAACAAAGATAACCAGAGAGGAACAGATTAGAAAACAGAACTTAAAGTATACCAAAGCTATAAATCTCTATATTTATTGTTTTTTTTTTTTAGTTTGCTCCTACATCCTCTCAAAATATTACTCTTTTCAACTCAAAGTTAAGCAAAAACAGAAATGTTTAGCAAAAAGCTCTTTTTGAGGAAAATGTTTTTTAAAAACTAGAAATGTTCCATGTGTAATTTCTTAAATATAACTAATATTGGATTAAACAAGGCTGAACTTTTATTTTTCAATACTAACCATAAACATCCAGCCACACCGACATCGTGCTGTTTCCTTTCTCATTTTCAGCTTCACATTTGTAACTCCCAGCATCTTGTGGACGTACTGCTGCTATTTGCAGTGTGGCACTGTGCGTATGAATGTAGTTCGCCGTCTGGATACGTGCAGTGCCATCAACCTTTGGTTGTTGCTGTGGATACCAGACGGCACCCTGTCAACGCCCAGAGATCTCTAGAGATTAACCCCGAATGCATGTCTATCCTTGCCAAGCAAATAGTAAAAAAGAAACACATGCATGCAACCACAGATGCAAGCTCTCCATTCCGCCACTATTGCATTCTGCAGAGCACACATACATCCAAAATCCTTAGCACATGCAGAGACAACTTTGACCCTTTTCCTCTTGCACATTCATACACATGATGAAAATGCAACATAAAGGTAAATGCCCTTTCGGACATGTGAACATGCATAGCACATCCTACAGCAAACATAAAGCTGATGAATCTCACCGAGCCAGGTGGTGCCGTCCACTTCACTTTGAGGTCTCCATTGACATTTGTGGCATTGCAGGTGATTGACAGACTCTGATTTCGAGTTAGAATTATTCTCCTGGGATGCTGCACCTGGATTTTAGGAGGACCAACAGGCACTGAAAGAAGACAAGTTGATCTAAATCAGAGCTGGGCCAAAAATTACCAAAAAGGATTTTTCACGGACTTTGCAAACTTAGTAACACTTGCATTGAACTCAGCGGCACCTGTTACCTGGATTAACTGTCAGAGAGTATTCCTCAGATCTGATGTGTTTATTCTGAAGTGTCCCTGAGCACACATAGCATCCCTCATAAGTCTTTTTTATATTGTAGATGAAGATGCCTTGCTCCAAGCTAGTAGAAAACTGGAGACCAGGGGAGAGGGCTCTTCCGGAGCATGTTTCCAAACCTAAACTGCTCAGACTTGGATCAGTCGTGTGGCATGGTATGATAGCAGTGTCTCCCTCACGATAAAGAATACTGGACAGAAATGGTTTTCTGAAAAGTCTCTCAGGATCTGTCAAGAAAATACATAAATTGGGAAAACTTTTGTCAGAGAGTTGCAAGCAGGGCTTCACACTGAATTGCTTAAGCTTTATAGCTATTTTGTGCTGATGTTCAATACTCAAAATAAATGCTGCTGATGAAATTACATCTATGTGAACAATGTCTATGGGTTTAGTATATTTTTATAACATATATACTATATGTTATAAAGATATTTTCAGTTTCCATGTGGCTCAATTTTAATGAAAATGTCACAAAACATACAATAGAGATGCAGCAATTAAACATGGGAATTTAAACCAGATGTAATAATAGAAATAAGGATCGGGGTTAGAGCTATTTGACAGCTCTATTATTCAGGATTTGCTATATCAACAGAAGCATCCAGCCACTGAGGCAAAAGCAAACTCTGGTGGCATAATCTTATCCATATAGTTAGCACATTCCCTTGAAGTTCTTTTTAAAATGTCCCAAAACAAACAAGGTATTTTATGTAATGATACACTTAAGTTGAAAAGCAGTCTGTTGTTTCTAAGACAGATGTGGGGCTGTTAAGCAAATGATCAGCACATGATAAGAGCCTGCAGTGATGGCACGGAGCCAAATGGATGTTGGGCCACAAAGAGAAGAAAAGATAGTAAAACTCAGTTCTGCACTTGATAAATAGCTCTACAATCTACCACACCTGTGTAGAGAAACATACACCCTCTTCTGCAAACAAATGTACAAACTCTGTTTCCTGTCAGAGAAGAGAATACTTGCCAAAAACGTGCTCTGCTTCTGACTCGAGTCTTAATTCCTAATGATTTAAGTTGTGCTGACCTTACATACAAATCCATTGCTGTTTTACACACTAATAGCCATGGAATTTCACACAGATACCTTTCACATAGACGAAAATGGAGGCTTCCTCACTGGATTTCTCATCCCGGCAGATGTAGCGGCCCCGATGAAAAGCCTGAGCCTTTGGGTAGTGCAATATCAACATCCCATCTTTCTCCGTAGCCTTAACAGGCTTGTTCCGATTCCCTCGCCACCACAGTGACCTGTTTTCACTCTTGCAGCGCAGGTCAATGGGATGGTTGAGCAGAACAACGATGTGGGGCTCGTTAGGGATAATAGTGGGCTTTGTGTTGCCTAAAACGGGATTGGAAAGATTTATGACATGAGGGAAATTTTCTCAATACTACAGAGTTAACATACCAAAACATATATATTACCCACACAATGCATCTGGACTATGAGACCCTAAAAACAAATGTCTTATGCAAAGGTTAATAATTCACACTCAAAACATGACAAATCCATACACATAAGCCCTACCAAATAACATGTCAGTTGATACATGCAAGGTATAAGCAGCTAATTACTGGAACTAGTTAGGATTTGCATCATGTTTTAAATGAAACAAAACAGCAAATAATAATTTCTGCCAGCTTGAGAGTCACCAAAGTAACAAGACTCCCCCCCCTCCAAAAAAAAACAACAAAAAAACAAAATACAAAAAAACTCTCTCATCAGCTATCATCATGGGAATCTTTCAATTCTTCAAATTTTGAAGTTGGTAGAGTGCTAAGTGTCAGATGAAACACAATCTAATTTGTGCAACACACTCCTGAATCAAAGTTACAGTTTGTTATAGGACTGGTCCAGTACTAGCTTCTGTTTTTTGTTGCTCTAAAATGGTTTAAAGTTAATCATGTCCTGCTCGAAATAATGTATTGAAAGTAATAAGTATGAACAAAAGAAAGTAATAAGTATGAATGAATTTGCTAAAACAGTATTTTTACAAGATTAAAGTTCCATCCATCCATCCATCCATCCATCCATCCATCCATCCATCCATCCATCCATCCATCCATCCATCCATCCATCCATCCATCCATCCATCCATCCATCCATCCATCCATCCATCCATCCATCCATCCATCAGGGTTAAGGGGGTGTTTATGTGAAGGAAGGGCAAACCCACATATACCCACAAACACACACGCCTAAGGGCAGTTTAGAATCATCAATCAACCTAACAGTCATATTTTTGGATTGTGGAAGGAAGCTGGTGTACCAAGAGAGGACCTTTATCTGTGACAACATGCAACACATTCTTGTTGGAAGGCAACTGTGCTACAAGCTGTAATACCATCTTAATCAATGAAGGTTTCATTCAGATCAATTAAATATAAAGTAGGCCATATTTCTATTGGTGATTTTATTTGTGTGCTAAACTATTTGGAATATCATCTTTGGAGCAGAAGTCAATGTTGGATCATTGTCTTAAAATGACAGTTTTTTCAAGAATTATGAGCCTCTTCTCAAACTGAACAAACTTGGTCTCAAATTTTAAGGTAATGTTGGCTGAAAAACTACCCAGCCTTGATTAGATGACCCAGCAGTTTTTAAAGTGTAACAACTGTGTTTATACACTGCGAATTAAACACTCAGTGTTGTGACACATGGTGGGGCAGTGTATAACATGTTGCTTTGTAACAAGGTTCTGGTTTTCGATTCATGGCCCAGGGTCTTGCGTGGGTTCTCCTCAGGTAGTCCGGCTTCCTCCCACTGTCTAAAAACATGACTGTTAGGTTAATGGGCTTCTCTAAAATTTTCTTAGATGTGAGTGTGGTGGACTGTCTTTTTGTATCTGCCCTACAACAGATTGGCAATCTTGCCTCTCAACCACAGACTGCCGAAGATCGGCACCAGCCCCACCACGACCCTGGCTGAATAAGTGGGAGAAGATGGATGGAGTGTTGTGACACAGGAGATGAAATCTTAAACATAACATCAAGTACTATATTCCTGTAAATGACCAAAGCATTTAATCTGTCACCATATACATTACCTCCATCATCCAGTGATTTCTTAGGAAAACTATTTATTCTTCACAGCCACAATAAACAGACGGACAACATAAATGCCTGGTTTTACTCTGACAAAAACTATGTTTTTCGGGTAAATCCATTTTAGGTAATCAGTATAAAACACCACAGTGGTGGTGCAAAAATAGGCAGCTCCTGATTAAGATACCCTCAAAGTCCCCACTTAGATACAAAAAAGGAGGTTCTGTTTAATTAAGCTTGCACTGACATTCTCAATACAGGATCTGTCAAAACACTGAATGACTAAACATAGGAGCTTTAAAAAAAAAAAGGATGTACAGATGAGGATGTACAGATGAGAGTCCACCAACACCCGGAAAACTAGAGCTTTAATCTGGAGTACGAAGTGGAAATTAAAAGGATTCTGGAATAATGTCGTTTATATATGTTGTTACACACTAAAACGTGTTTTTTTTCCCTTTTAAATAATTATGTTTCAAAAACGTATGCATATTAAACTATCTGGTAATAGCGGTTTAATGGGATGGGGGCAGCAACATTTATAGGAGTGGCCAAAGCAAGCAAACTCCCTCTCACACACAAACTAGTTATTTCCCGCTATCCTTATGGGGACTTTGCATCGGCTTCAACTCCATTCATTTCTATGGCCTTACCCTGACCTCTACCCTAACCATTACAGGCAGACAACTAACCATAAACCTAATCTAAACGCATTTCACACCTTAGTCCTAAACCTAACCCCCAGAATAGAACCGTTTCTCATGGGAATCAGTCGTTGGTCCCCATAAGTACCTGGTCATTAACAAAATATTGGCCACACAAATACACAAGCACACACGATTTGGTGGACACATCCTAGAAGGGAGTTGTAAATGTCTTAAAACAAATTCACCTCTTAACTTCATAATGCTTTTAACCTTGAGTCAACAGAGGGTGCGCGTCTGACGCCAAATATTTTTTACAGATAATTTTTGCAAAAAGCTTTTATACCCGGATAAGGAAACAACACAATAGAGAAGTGATATTACAATATCGAGCATGTTATATAATTTAAAGATTAATTCTTTAACGTGTTTATTTACAGCATCATCATTATAAAACCGGGCTCGTTATCTGTACCCCGTGCGCAAGCGGGCTTTAGGAAAACTTCATGGCGTGCCCTGTTGCATCACATGACCGTTCCTGAGCACACTGCTCCCAATGCTGCCCTCATTCAAACCCTGGCAGATGATCAATATCGCGTGTGTTCAGTGTTCTTGATCACCGTCTCAATCAGCGTTGGTCGGATGGAAGAGGCTATGAAGTCCACCTGACGCCGCCCATGGAGCCTCCACCAGGGCGCAGCGAGTGCGCAAAGCAAAAACAAATCGCTGTCTCAATTTCTTCTTTCAAACCGGCTGTACTGAACTTTTTTCTTATTTTTTTTCCATAAATTTGCCTTTAATCTCTAACTGGGAATTCCAGCTGTGTATAATTAAAAAAAAATAATACAGATATGCCTCCGGGTGGGCATCTATCTACTTCCTCGAAACTAACCTAAACAAAAGGTGGCCACACTGTCCGCATTAATAAATAGGTTAAAAACATGTTTTATTTTGGCTTTATTGTGGACCTCGGCCTTCATGGTCAGGGACCAGGTGATATGCCAAGTCATAATAAATGCAATATGCTTTTAAGCTGCAGCCCACTCAGAGAGGGGACAGGTTTAAAAACTTCCTCGTGAATCAAACATATCTCGGAACGGGTGAAAAACAAGCCTGTCAAACGGCTGTGGATCTAACTCGTTTGCATGATTCCTAGGAATCACAAACCATTATTTTTACATAGTGACGGTTATGCGCTGCTGGTATATTTGCATCATACTCAATATTACTCGATAATCAGCTTTAACCCTACTGGCTTAAATTTATTTATTTATTGTCTTAATTACGCCCTGTTTCTTGATTAAAGCTTAAATTATTTAAGTAAGTCTCGCATTCAAATAGTCAGAGTATCTGCTTCCCTCATTGGGTTTCTGTGGCTTCAGGTTGTCTCTTCAGACTTAGGATCCGACTCCTGATACACAGAAAAAGTATTCCAATGCTGATGTAAAAATGTAAGGAAACTAATCTAAAAAAATTAAATAATTCATTGTTAATCTTCAACTTCACCCTTTCCTGTGAGTAAATAGTAACAAGTTGAGCGTGTAATATGACACGTCAAACACCCATGCTCTGCAGCCTTACCTAGGTGGAAGCTTAGCTGTAAAAAAACAAACAGCAGTATCCAGAGGTATTCCATAGTTAGTATTCCATGGGTCTAGCTGTGAGGTGAGCCAGTGGCGCAGTGGTCTAGGTAGCTCTCGATCGCACTCGCCGAGCGCGTCGGGCTTGTGGGAAGTTTGACAGCGGAGCTCTGACAGAGGCGCGCTTCTCACAGAGCTTTAAAGGCACAGATGCTCAGCAGTGTCTCTGAAAGCATGCTGTTGTCCTGCAGCGTGCCGGAGGGGACGGTGCGGGCCCACCAGGTGGCTCTGCCTGAGGAGGGAAGTCAACTGCATGTTGGTAGGAGTCCAGTGGTGGAGCCTCTTTTACTGACAGAGAGAGAGAGAAAGAGGAAGAGAGAGAGGGAGGTGTCACTGTGTGGCCACTAGTCTCTGCCTTATGAAAAAAAGAAAAACAAAAATAGACAGACATGCAGAAAGATGAAGAAAAGAGACCTGGTTATCCAAACCCAAATAAGAGCATCTTATTTGGTTAATCCCCATCACTTTTTTACGTTTTACA